TCTCCTCACACGTCTCTCATCGCCATTTCATCTACCCGACCTTCCCCTGCTCTCCTCTCCGATCTTTCTCTTTTTGATCACCTCAGATGTCTCTCCCATCTTGTCTCTCTGCAGACTCTCTGTCTCTGATTTCATTCTTCTCCCTCCTCTCTCTCCCTCCATGAATTCACTCCAATCCCACATTTCCTGTCTTCTCTCCTTGGTCTCGTCTTTCTCTCTACACTCCCCCCCAACCCTCCGTCTCCTCTGTCTCTTGTTTCTCTCTGATCTGCTTTCCTCTCTCTACCTTGTTTCCTCGTATTGATCTTCAGCCTTTCATTTCTCTTCCCAACTTTCCTCTATTCTCTCCCATCTCCCTGTCTTCTCTGACGTCTCTTCTTCTCTGTTCACCTCCCGCTCTGAACTCACTCTTCTCTCTCAACTTTCTCTGATCTGGCCTCTCGCTTTGAAATCCCTTCTCCAATTGCCCTCTATTCTCTCACCTCCCTGATCTCTTTTTTCTGCTCCCTGCTTCTCCCTCAGATCCCCCAACCCCCACTTTCTCAGAACTCATTTCTCTCTCTACCCTTCCCGCTCTCCCTCTCATCTTTCTGTCTCTTTGATCACTTCTTTTTCACTTTGCTCTTTCTGCCTCTGTGAACTCATCTCCCACCTCTCTCGGTGACCACTGTCAATATAGCTCTTCTCACTATATATTCTTCCTTCTCCTACTCCCTGATCACAATCTCCTCTCTTATTTCTTACTCCCCTCTCTCCATCTGTCATCTCTGTAATGCCACTCCATTCTCTCCGAGGTCCCTCTGCTCTTTCTCTTACCCCACTCTTCTCTCCTTCCCACGGACTCTCTCTAATCAGCCTCACATCTCCCCCCTCTGAGCTCCCTCTAGCATCAATGTCTCAACCCTCTCTTCTCTCTAATCTCAATATCTACTCTCCCCCTTTCCCACTCTTCTCTCTGAATCTGTTCATCTCTATCTTCCCTCATTTCTCTCTCCTCTCAATTTTCTCTAATCCCACTCTTCTTCCTCATCCCTCAGAAATCTATCTTTTGCCTTTCATTTCTCTTTCTAATTTCCCTTTTTCATCTCTGTCTTCCCTCATTTCTCTCTCAACTTTCTCTAATCCCACTCTTCTCCCTCATCCCTCTGAAATCTACCTTTTGCCTTTCATTTCTCTTTCTAATTTCCCTCTATGCTCTCCCATCTCTCTGACGCCTCTTCTCTCAGCACATCTCCTTCTCTGCACTTATTCTTTCTCTCATCTCCGGCTCTTTCTTTCTCTGAGCTCAATCTCACATCCCTCTGCCCTCTCCCATCTCTCTGACGCCTCTTCTCTCAGCGCATCTCCTTCTCTGCACTTATTCTTTCTCTGAGCTCAATCTCACATCCCTCTGCTGGCTCTAAATTCTTTCCTCCCTCATCTCCTCTCTGCCATCTCCCTTTCTGCT